CTGTCCCTGTCTGTGTCCTCTGTCCCTGTCTGTCTCCTCTGTCCCTGTCTGTCTCCTCTGTCCCTGTCTGTCTCCTCTGTCCCCATCTGTCTCCTCTGTCCCTGTCTGTCTCCTCTGTCCCCATCTGTCTCCTCTGTCCCTGTCTGTCTCCTCTGTCCCTGTCTCTGTCCCTGTCCGGGTCCACCGGGACGACTTTTCTGTTTTGAGTTGACGATGGAGACAACTTCAAGTCTCACTGTCCCTGAGAGACATGAGAGAAGCTCAGAGAGTCCCTGAAGGAGKTCCAGTTTGGACGTAGTTTGGTCCAGAGGTGGGGACAGAAAGCTTCTGATTAGTGAAGAGCCCAGTGGTGTTATCAGGTAGTTGCTGGAGTGTCAGTCAACAGCTCAAAGAAGRAGTTTCTTATTAAAACCCTCAGTTTTTCTGTAAAGTCAGCTGTCAGGATGAGTTCAGGACGACTCTCAGCTACTACCACACTGCTGATTTGCTGATAATGCTCAGCCGTGGCGGCCATCTTCTAACATAACCACCATGTTTACGTTCCTTTCAAAGAAAAAAATGTGGTATATAATTACGGCAACTGTTTGTTAGGACAGTTTCAGTTATTTTCTTATGGATTAGCTAATATTCTTCATGGTTTGGAACTTATTTTGGGCGAAATCATGAATAGTTTCAGGTTTGACTGATGGAAAAGATTAAAAGAGGGGCGTGTCCAGCGCGGGGGCGGGGACACACACAATCAGATCCATGCAGCAGGAGTTTTCCTTTTGAAGGATTTTAAAACAATCGAGACTTAAAGCCAACAACTGTGAAATGTTTTCAGGACGATTTTGTTTTTGAGATTATGAAACTCCATTTAGGACTTCAGCCTGATAAAATTAATTGGACTTTAGGACACTGCTGTTGACGTAAATGAATTAAGTTTAAGCTGTTATTAGTTGGAAATATTTCTATTGTATAAACTTTTATTTTTGTTATTAATCTGCATGTTAATTGTGCATGACTGAATAAATTTTTGGTTGATAACTTCAATAATGCTCCATAATATGAGTTGATTCCTTTAAAAAATAATATTAAATGTTAGTTTAGTTTAATCATTCCATTTAAAGCAAACAAAATACACTCAAAAAAACAAACAAAAAACAATAAAATGAAATGAAAGGTAGCAGAAGAAAAAAATCTTACAATATCTACCCCCATTTAAAAAAAATTAAAATAAAAAATGTTACCTGATGCCTGGATCCCCTGATTATGTTGTAAGTTTGCTTTAAGCCAATCTGAATGTTACAGTCTTACCACGCCAACAGGAAGTGGATTTAACATATAACGTCTCCATCCTCTCTGTTTCCTTCCTGAAGGACAAGACGTTCACCTGCACGCTCTTCATGCCCTTTGAAGACTTCGAGAAGATCACCACAGGAGATGAGGTCATCGAGTTTTTCCGGAAACACTTCCCCGACGCCATCCCGTTGATCGGAGCGTGAGTGACGTCTGATGTTTCCTTTATTTCATCTCATCATCAAACCACCGCAGCCATCCTCAAACACCTGAAGCTCCTCCCACCTTGTCCGCTTTAAGCACTTCCACGGCCGCCGCCATGAAGTGTGAATTTACCGACGATCACACCTGAGGTTTCAGTTTGAGCTGACGAGGAGATGAAGCTTCAGGCTTCTTCATCGTCACATTTTTATGGAAGCCGTCTAAAGGGGCGTGGCCGATGGTTCTGTGTGACCCGTTCGGCTGGGTTACGTTGATCTGAGGTGGTTTCTGATGGTTTTTTTCGTTTTGCAGCGACGCCCTGAGGACAGATTACTTCAGACTTCCTGCTCAGGCCATGGTGTCCGTTAAATGCAGCCCGTACCACATCCAGGACAGATGTGTCCTCATGGGGGACGCCGCCCACGCCGTGGTGCCATTTTACGGGCAGGGGATGAACGCTGTAAGTCTAACTGAATGACGATGATGAGGATGATGATGATGATGATGATGATGAAGCTCATTGGTTGTAGGGCTTTGAGGACTGCATCGTCTTTGATGACATCATGAATCAGTTCAATGAGGATTTCAGTGAGTATCTCTTGTTTGTAAACAATCTGGGCCCACTCATAATTAATTATTGTTGTTTTCCTTTGTTTACTTGTTTACCTGCTCAGGTTCTGTTCTGCCTGAGTATTCAAGAGTCCGGGTCCCAGACGACCACGCCATCGCAGATCTGGCCATGTACAACTATGTCGAAGTAAATCAGAGTTTATTTCACTTTATTCTCCAGAGAGACGACATTTTCTGCTAGAAAACAGAGGACAGTGAATACCAGCAGAACAGCAGCTGAAACGACCAAAACAAAGGCTAAAACAATGAAACATGACAGAGTTAAGACAGGCGCTAGAAAAACAAGCAGTAGCTAAAAATAACAACATGCTAAACATGCTAAAACCTGCTAAAACAACATGCTAAACCTAAAACTAGCAAAACAGCTGAATGTAGCAAAATATGTGCTAAAGCTAAAAGTAGCCTAAAAAAGTAATGAGAGAGAAGGTGAAGCAGAGTTTTTACCATCCATCCATCATCCATCCATCCATCATCCATCCATCCATCTATCCATCAATCCAACTATCCATCCATCATCCATCCATCCATCCATCATCCATCCATCCATCTATCCATCCATCCATCCATCCATCCATCCATC